AACAGCGATGTCTTGATCACTGGAGACGAGGGGCTGGCCGTGGGGAGTATTCATGGTGGTCTTTCACTAGGAACGACGCAGGAGGCTAGAGATTTAGGAATCATAGTGACAGAAGACTACATATGGGTATAACAGTGTCTTGCAGCGGCTCATCGTGCACGTAGAGACATTTAGGACTGAGATCGGCGCTAAATTGTAGGAAACCGGAGGTATTCGGACCTCTACATAAGGCGATTGTTCAACCGTATTTAGAGTATCGTATACAAGCCTGAGCTCCCTTCTTCAAAAAGATGGCGTTTGTCTCGAGGGCGTCCAATGATTAGCCCCAAGGATGATAAAAGAACAGCGAGGGAAGCCATATAGACAAAGACTGCAGGATCTCTGACTCTCCTTCTTGGAAAGAAGAAGACTCCGAGGAGACTTGATAGAGACATTCAAAATTATGAGTGGTCTATCAGGGACTGATCAAGCAGTGTTCTTCGAGAGGATGCAAAGCAACACTGGGGGGCAGATGTATACGCTGAAGAAATTGCACACCACATTAGTGGTAAGTTCAAACTTCTTTAGAAACAGGGTGGTCAACTCATGGAATAAGTTACCATAGAAGCTGGTGGACCTAGGGAGCGTACATGCTTTCAAGATAGAGCTCGATAAGCGCTGGCTTAACTTATTTCCCGAACTAAACGCATAGGTTATGGTTTGTTTAGTTCAGTTTGCCCAGGACGATGTGTATCCCGGGTAAATCCTGCATCCCGGTGGATGTGTTGTTGGCTGATCCTGTGGCTTCCAACACTGCGAATCAATGGGTTTCGTCTGAAAGGCATAATGTGAGGTGTAGGGAATATAAAACGCCAACAATCAATTAAGGTCCTCTTAAAGACTATGATGTTCGAGCAACTTACCACATCCTCGGGTAGACTATTCTAGTAAGGTATTACGCAACTTGTAAAGAACTTGGCTCGAATGTCCAACCTTATGATCTTAATAGCTTCTATGAGATACCCCCTAATTCTTATTTTTGCCAACGGGAACAGCTTAAGGTCCTTAAGCCTGGGCTCGTAGCTCTTTCCTCTTTGTCCCACCATCATGCTTGTAGCAGGCGTTGCACTCTTTCTAAACATTGGATGTCTTTCCGAAAATAGGGTGCCCATGCCTGAACACAATATTCTGAGTATGGCCTAACTATGACCTTGTGCAGAGGGACGAGAACCTCGGGTCTCCTACACGTTATCATGGAGTGCAAACGGAAGAGTTCCCTTCGAGCTATTTTGGCTGCCCTCTGACATTTTGGGAGGGTTTGAAGTTGTGCGTCAAGTGCGTGTGTCAAGTTCAACTGTTAGCTGTTAGAAGTTGACATTTGGCTAGGTTAAGGGGAAGATCCCACTTTTCGGACCACCGTATAACCGCCAGCAGCTCCTGATATACATTCACTCCAGCCACCTTGAAGTCGTCTGCGAACACAAAGCACGGGTTGTTGATTTCCCGTGGCAGATCATTGACGAACATCAGAAAGGGCAGTGGGCCTAGCACAGACCCCTGAGGGACACCGCTAGTCATGTTTGCCGGCACCGATTAGTGTGTACCAACCTTGATCTGGAAGCTGCGGTTAGCTATAGAGCAGTTTACCCACTTTCTAACTTTCCCTCAATTCCTAATATTTGCATTTTTTTGGTCTAAACCCTGATGACTTACGGAGCCAAAGGCTTCGGTAAAGTCCAGGTAACAGACCTCGATATGCTGTCCCTCGTCTAAGCATCGAGTGACTTCATCGAGGAGGGCAAGCAGATTCGGTAGACAAGATTTCCTCTTAATAAAGCCATGTTGAGCTGGCGTTAGTAGCTCATGCCCTACTAGGTACGCAGCCATTTGCTTACGTACAATCCTTTCTAGGAATTTGCATAGGACCGACGTCAGACTCACTGATCTGTAGTTTTTGGCCTTTTGCTTTGACCCAGATTTATGCAGGGCAACTACCGTCACTCATTACCAATCTCCCGGTATCTCGCTTTTATCTAGAGATGCCTGAAACAGCTTTGTCAGATGCCCTTGGAGAATCTACGCTAGAGGTTTAACAACAGAGGGATGGATACCATCCGGTCCCGCTCCTTTGAAGTTTTTCAGATTAGCTAATTCGTCCGGTGACATAGTTATTTCGGTCAACTGTGATGTCACGCTGGGATAATCGAATCTATCTGTCATACCTAACGGTGACGGCTGTCTATACACTTCCTTAAAGGAAGCCTGAAGGGTATTCGCCTTGTCTTCCACACTTGGGGCAGGACGTCCATCAGTGCTTTCTAAAGTTGCAATCACTCTCTTGATACCTTTTTAGATTGGACATGAGCATAAAACCTCTTTGGGTTCTGTTTTGCCTTTATCGCAATCCCATGCTCATAGTCGTACCTGACCCTTCGTTGCATAGCCCGTGCATAGTTTCTTTCTGCCTTGTAGTTACACCTTGCCTGAGACTAATTCAGTATTTTGTAAAGTGCCTACTTTCGACTCCTTGTGGCCAGAGCCCTATCTAAACATGGTTTCCACCATGGTGACCGTTGTCTGAGTCCACTGGGCCTCAGGGGTTCAAACGCCTCTATGAGCCTCAGTAAATCGTTTTTAATTGCAGTCTATCTCTCCCATGGTAGACTCAGCTGTTGGCGGTTCCCAGCTTAAACCTAACCCTCCCGCTTGAAGACTCTATTCTTGTACACCCCTATACAACCGGACCATTTTGATCCAGACGATTTATCTTCCTTTTCAGCAGTCTGTCCCCATTGTGTTTTCAACCTAATTCCTACCGATCCAGTCAGTTTAACCCCGTTGCTCTCTTTAACCTTATTCTTTTTCGGAGTATTTCTTCTCTTTTGCTGCACTTTAGAGGTTAATCCCTCCGCAGCAACCATACCCCGAACCAATGGCGAGCACTCTGGCGCGAATGTCTCGCACCGGTCACATAACCACTTCAGATTCTTGTTCTGAATGTGTATGAGGTACTCCTTCTTTGTTAAAAGTGAGCACTCTTGATGGGACCACTTTGTGCACCTGCTGCACTGAATTCCCACTGCTACATATAGATTGCAACTAGTGCTTCCACAATGCTTTTCGCTCTGTGAGGAAACCATTGCTAAGAGTGCAATAATCAGGAAAACACGGCAGGGTAAAAACGGATACACGGGTAAGTTAGCTAAAAGCGATCGGGAAACAATTATAAAAAGCTAAAACGACTCAAATACAACCCCTGTGAATCGCTTAAGAGTTCAACACTTAGGATAGTAAGCACTAAAAAGTTTAGTGCTAGAAGTGTGAAATATCTATAGATATTTTACTAGCATTCAACCGAAAACTTTATATACCAAGAGCAGTTAGAAAATTCAAACCACGCGCGAACGTACCGCAAGGTTGAAAGTGGTAGGTTTTTTCAGTCGCTCACCACCCCAACAGGTGAGTGCTTCCAAATGTGGGATCTCGCGCCTGAACAAGGGAAGATATTTTTCCTTTGTCTTCCCTTGCAGAGGCGGAGACGACCGGGACGAGAAGAAAACGTGTAGAACTACGATATAGAACACTCGCAGTGATAGGGGCCAACACGTGGCCTACTACCGAAGGAACTCTGGATGCTCCGTTGGTCGTGACCATTTCCTGTCCTGTGTTAACTGACTGACTGATTTTGGATTAAAATCACGAAAAAATGCAGATTTCCTAATTTACTTTCACAAATCAGTGAATTAAAGTGTTGTTGCACTGATAGACACAATATTACTTTTGTCATTTTAAGTAAAAAGAGTGTACGTTGTGTTATATAACTGGTAAACGTGTCAAGATATCAAAGATTCTCCACAAGGAGTAAGTACTAGAGCAAAATATAATTATGCATATCAGTTATTCGTCTAAAACGTCCATTACTTTCTTTCAGTACACACTTTAGGAGATCAATTCCGTTTAATTTCACTTTCCGCATCCCCTCTTTTGGCTCTGCAGGTTTACACAATACAACCATCCCTCATCTCGTGAGGTGTCTCGTTCTCCTTTTGTACGAACGATCAATTGCAACATAGACGTATTATCCCGGAGTACCGATAAACCAGCGCCTACAGTATCCCAGTTAATCACACTTGATAGTCAAAAATGGGGAGAAACTGCAATCGTGTATTAACCCTCTTCTTCAAACAACTTGCACTGGTAAAAATTCAGATCTCTGGTTTGACGCTCAAAGTCCCCTTGTCCAGTGACACTCCCCGTCCCTTGACATTGGAATTTTTCTAAGCAGGCCAGGTCAGGTTTCCCAGGACTGAATATGGCCACGGCCAATCAAGCACTCAACGGTCTTCCTGGAATACAGTAACCAGGGGTGATGTGGGCTACGTGATAATGACGGGCTAAAGTCAGCGTGCATTTAACATTGTTCGGTGGCCGCCCAAGTCTCTGTTTCAGTTCTGTGAGTCTTCCACGAAACAATGGTTGTGTACATTTCTCGACGTTACTCGGTCTCAGTGATTCGAACGTTCACCGGTTGGAAGGATGTGTAATCGGAAGCAAGATAATTATAGATTCATATCACCAATCCGGTTAGTAACAAAACATAAAGCCTTGCATTTTGTTCGTTCAGTAGGACCTGTTCAACGTTCAACCAACAGATAGCATGAGATCAGAGAATTCACGCAAATCTCCGAGGGAAATAAGTGCCTGATGTCAAGAATACGATACCATTTCGTTAAGAGGATGAAACATAGAAGTGAACTGATATAGATCATTAGACATCTCATTTGTCAACAGAAACATTTAAACAACTGATAAGCGTTTGTTGTGTATCAAATCAAGATTGGATTTGACAAAAGTTCTTCCGAATTGTCAATCGAAAAATGAGGTCTGCGCGTGCGCGTCGCACAAAAAACAAAGGATGAAAAAAATAAGAAGCACAATCTATGCTCAGTTGGAATAAGGAAAAGCAGTAGCAGAAGAGGTGAAAATGTTTATTTGATATAGTTAGCCAGATCTTCAGCGCTTTAAGACTGATTCGACTGTAGAATCTTTGTGGCCTCGGCGATTAAGGTTAGAGCGTTTTTCTTCGCATTGTTACTGTCGTCAGTCCCCGTTTGGGCCTGTTGCGTCAACCAGGCTTTTGCTTTGCGTGCCAACAGGATCCATTCGTCGGAACGAGAAGCCAAGAAATTTTCAAAATAGGCCAATACCAGAGCGGTAGCCCAGGCGGTTTCCGACACAGGTCCCTTCGAGGTTTTTGCATCCCCTGAAAATGATAAACAAACACGCACACGTCAATCAAAGACAAAAAGCAGCTGTGATCTGTAATAGAATGAAAAATGCTGTCCACTGGTTCTACTAATCACCCTTAGCAAGAGGTGATGGAAAAACCGCACGAGCAGATGTAACAGAGGTTCGAGTGTGAATCGGAACTAATAGGGCGGAAAATTGAACTATTTCTGCTGTTCAAAATCAGCAGGATGGAGACCGATGTCTCAGTGCAGATCATGTAAGCGCTCTGTAATAGTACATAGATCAATCCATTCCATGAAGAATACGTTTAAGTCCTCGATCAATGTAGCTATTTGTTTTCGCAAGCATTCATCACACCAGTGGGAATTATTATGAGAAATAAGACACGTAAGCTACAAGGAATCTTCAAATATGACTATGAGAATAACCAAAAAAGCGGAAGTAGTCGTCTTTATTGATTCACCACTAGACTGTGTGCCCTAGGATCCGAGGTTCAAACCCCACCAGTGCCACTCAGCTTTGGTCGTGCGTAGCTCCTCTGTTGTCCGGTTTACTCGTCTATTCATCATAAAAGATTGCATAATATACTAAAGGGATGTTTGGATCGTGTAAATTCTTGATGCTACGAGACCACGGTGGCATTTGGTTGAGGTGTACATCCTTCAAACAAATACCCGTATTCGAACAACTTCAATGGGGATGATGAGTCAAAAGCAGTCTCAAATAGCCAGGTGGGAATATTGCAAATAGGCTTCAATCGTGCATGAGTTATCAGCCAGATGTCCTCCGAAATGTGCTGGACAAAAGACAGTATTGAGCCATTTATTCTCCCTAGTATTCAATTCAAAATACAAGCTCAGATAATTGAATTCTTGAAA